GCAGCAATCGAGATGGTGAAGAGGGCGGAGGACAGCGTGCGTGGGTCGTCAGCAAAACCAAGGGCATGTGGCACGAGGGTATCCGAGTTAGGAAGACGGTCCCATGTATTTTTGTATTGTAGTCATCTTAATTCATATCATTTTTCGCATACATTCCTGAGCGATATCGTGTCGGATTTACGGGCGGTGTGCCTGCTACAGACTCCCATTGCCAAACCACTACTTGGCCAGGTGTATGATGCTAATGGCAATGGAACACCCTACTCACATTGGAATTCCTGACCGGTCATGCCTATGTGTTCCAGTGCAATCTGATGAGTTACAATGACGGTTCTATATACTACAGTGATCACAAATATTAAGCTCTCATATCTAACACCAATGCAACACTCATCTCGCCAAGACTAGCATTATGATGAAATCCTATGCAAGCACTCCTTACATTGCCAATACAAACCGTGTTGCAACGATTGGACATTTTTGCTGATGTCTCTCCACCATATAGATCTTCCCAACTTCTCTGATTATGGCTGTGTTCAAGGTTGGCTTGATTTTTGCCATGGCAAGCAACCTTGGGAGGTGCACGGCATCTGAGCACGGGGACATGGGTGAGCCCCTAGAGAGCGCCTGTATCTGTCACACTGTCTCTCATTCACCTCCCTTGGGTCCTATAGTCTTCATATCCTCATCAAACTGAATTATTGCCAGCAGAGCATTGAAGTAACAGACTATGCCAGATCATAAAAGAATGGGACGGCGGGGCGTCTAGGCCACATGGCATCCACATGGTGCCGCGTGGCTGCCATGTGCGCTGCTTAGGGCCCAGCGCGCCACACGGGCGTCCTGAGCGTTGGGCGCTCTGTTCAACGGGCGAGGCCAGCGCGCAACGGGCAGCAACCAGGGAAATTTGATATCAATATCTGATGACAGCTATCTGCACATAACAGAGGGAAGATATGGCCGCATATTGCTGGAAATGATAAGAATTGAATTTCGGCAAGCTGAACTTTCTGAGTAGAAGACAAAAAGGTATGTAGAGAGTGCTCGATTGGGGCAAGAGTAAGTAAGTAGGCCTCACACTGAACTCAGGAAAACCTCATGGGTGATTTTTCACAGGGCCTGACATTCAGAATGCAATGGCTGCTTAGTGGGTCTCTTAAAAAATAATCATAACATATTGCGAC